TTTGTACTTGTGGTTGGTGAGCTTTGCAGTGGGCAGTGGTGAGCTTTGCGTCATCTGACCAAAGCATGTCATCTCACCGTAAAGTTTCATCTCACTGGAGTCTATCCCTATATATATATATATATATATATATATATATATATATATAGTGTGTGTGTGTGTGTGCGTGCATTCTACCTAACGGATATGAACCCAATCTTGATAACCCAAACAAACCAACCACTTTTTGGCTTCTGTGGCACTCTGTGGGTAACCTGCTTTAGCCTTAAGCCCTTCTATAAGGGCTTGTTTGATTGGGAGGGGAGGGAAACATTGGGTTTGGCTTTACTAATTTTTCTCTAATCCTCTATTTGTTAGTGCTTATACTAGAAAATTACTACTCCTATCGTAAAATTATTTTCCCAGTTTCTCTGATCCTTTGTATGAATTTGCACAGATAATTTCCTTCCTTCAACAGAATGCACATCCAAGGGTTGCTGAGAGAATACCATCTGTTCCAGAGAATGTCACTGATCAGGTAGTCTTTCATAATTTCATGGCGCTCAACGTGTTTGTTTTCACGAGTTATTGACATTTTCATATCACCATACTTCCAGCTTTTAAAAAGAGTGAATTCTACATGGTGACATACCGGCTGTGATATATCAATTTTTGTTTCAACAGATTAGGTTGTGGGAATCGGATTTGAACAGGATTGAAATGACGCCAGCCCATATTTACGAGGAATTTCCCTCTAGAGTAAGCTCCACACAACCCTTACTAATGGCCAGTTTGGTATTTGTGTTGCTTTTTATCTTCTACACAATTCTTTTTTTCCCCAAATGTTCCCTCTAGATTAAGACCCGAACAAAATTATAACTATATTGGGTTTGTTGCTGTTGTCGTTGTTATTGGTCGTTTGGTAAAATAAATAAAAAGTTGTGCTGATTGAAAGCCGTAAAAATGAAGTACCAAACAGAATTCTTTTCACAGCACAACTCATACTTTTTATCCACAGAGCAATACTTTATAGTATATCAACGCAAAACGCACCAAATACTTTTCACATTGTCTCTTGGCTTTGTTATTGCATGTTATTTATCTGTCCTTCTTACAGGATGCTTTCGAGGCTGCTTGTGATTTTGCACGAGAATATGGAGGGCTGTTGTGGGAGGACTCGAAGCGAATGCGTGTTATCGCGAAAGAAGAAATTCATGCTAACATGAAAGAGTTTGTTCGTCGAAAGCAATAGGTGGTTTTGCTTTACTTTTAACTTTCAGAGTGTAAGTGTATATTTATTTTTTCTTTGTGCCTTTAATAGTGTCATTTGGGACATGCCTAGCCCCTGAGGCAAATTTTATAATGAACCTAAAGTCCACGGTGCACCCACAGATAAAGCTTTTATGTTGGAAGGTCCGCAAATTTTTTTGTGAGCCTTGGCTGCACCAAAGAATCACTCACATTTTGAAGTGTATGCATTTCTTTTTACAAAAAGTCTTAAATAATCCTAATGTTCATATGAGAAAACACAGAGATTCTCATGATATTGGAATCCCGTGTCATGGAATGACTCGGAGCTGCTACGGTGCTCCGTTTGTAAAATTGACGGTTTGTACCCTACGCCCGCTAACCCCCCCC